CGCCCTCGCCCCAGCCCCGCGGGCCGCCGCCGTGGCCATCCTGCCGCCGACTGGCTGCGAGTGGCGCGACTGGGACGGCGGGGCTGCGTCCGAACACGTGGCGCCGCGGCCCCGCCTCCGCCAGCAGGGGGCGGGCATAGGTGGGCGGGGAGGGGCGGGGCGGGAGGGATGGGGATAGTTAGCCGAGGGGCGGGCCAGGGCGCAGGCCCGGGAACCCACTGGGCCCGCGGGAGCCGGGAAGGGGCGGGATTATGGGCGGGGCTGGGGCTAGCGGGGCGGGGTGGCGGGTCTTGGGAAGTCAAGGCTGCCCAGGGTAGGGCGGGGCCCGGGTGGGCGGGTCCTGGGCGGGCCAGGGTGGGCGGGGCCTTCGCCCCTGGGGGCCCTCTCCCAGGCCGCGGATGTCATTTTCTGGCCCTGCGGCAGACAGCAGTCCTCGTGCGTGGCCTGGAGGCCACACGTAATGAGATGCCGAGTCGCCGAACCTGGGCCACCAGACGCGTCCCGGTGCCGCCCGCGTGGCTGAGCTGCTCCTTCCTCCCGCCTTCCGTGGCAGCCCCAGCCTGGTTGCGCGCGCTCCCCACTCCGATCCGCTGTAGCCGGGCTCCAAGTGCGACCTCCATCCAGAAGCCTCTGCTGTCCCCGCACCGTGGAGCCCGGTGGGGCGACCCGGTCCTGGCTTGGATCCGCACAGGCCGCCCTGGGGGGCGCATAGGTGGAGGCCCAAGCCCGCCCCTGAGGCTCCCGGAAATTTTGCCTGAGGGGACAGCAGGCGGCCGAGCCCACCCTGGTTCCGCCTCCGGGCAGAAAGCCTGGCGGGAGGTCACGCTTCCGCCCTCCAGCTCTGCTGCACCTGTCCCGGCCCTGCGGTTACGGTTCCGCTGAAGCCGGAAAGGGCAGTGGCATTTGTGTGCGCTGAGTCAGACAATGCTGTCGCCCACCCAGGCTAGGACCATAAGTGCGTCCCATGCCACCCTGTCCCCCGTGGAGCAGGGAGCTGGGCCGGGCAGGCTGGCTCTCTGGGTCCAGGGTTAGATGAGGACTGAGAATAAAGACTGAGGTCACCGAAGGCTCCTGCGTAACCGGTCCTGGAAGTCCCCTCAGTCACCCTGAAAAGCAGACACCATTTCTCATCCTACAGATAAGAAACCGAGGCTGAGAGGCGCGCGCCGGTAACTCCTGAGGTCACCGGGCTCCTCCACCTGCTCCCACCGCATTAGGTAGGGTTTAGCAGGATGGCAGGGATCAGCCAGCCACTGAGTAATCATTAACAGTTAATAGTTAATGTTCTACTAATCCATGATAAAATGGAGGGCAACAAACATTCAAAAGAGATATCAAGCTGGGTGTGGTACTGGGAGCACCCTGAGAGGCTGAGGCAGGAGGGTGGCAAATTCAGCCCAGCCTGGGCAACTTGGCAACCTACCAAGACTTGGTCTCAAAATAAAAAGTGCTGGTGGCCAGGGATTTAGCTCAGCAGCACTGCACCTGCCTCTCAGGCACCAGGTCCTGAGTTCGATCCCCACTACCAAAAAAAAAAAAAAGAAGAAGAAAAAATTTGGGGAGGTAACTCAGGTGCAAAGGTGCACGCACACACAGAAGAGCAAACCATAATCTGTGGGCTCTGGTACCTTAAACTGACTTTATGCTTCAAATTTATTCCAATTTGTATCTTGTTTTATAAAAAGATTGGGTGATAGCAAGTGTAAATTTTGTTTAGATGAAAAATGCATGAATGCAAAATAGATAAATGATAGTAATAGAAACACAATTAGAACTTTAATCATGTTGTTATTTTTTTAGATATGGAACTCTATGAAATCAACATTACTCTACCTACCATAGAAATGCAAATCATTTTAAAACTTCCTTTGTCCTCCTTCTCCACCCCACCATCCTCACTCTCTCCCCTCCTTCCCTCAGAGGATGTCCTCCTTCCAGATGAACCTGGTCCCACTCCAGGAGAGGAGCCGCTGGGCTTCAACAAGGTCTTGGAGTGGATTGCTGCCATTTTCTCTTTTGCCACCTGTGGGGGTTTTAAGGGCAAAACAGAAATTCTAGTGAGCTGTAATGGGACTAAGAATGAAACTGTTACGGCTACTTTTGGTTATCCATTCAGGTTGAACCAGGCATCATTTCAGTCACCTTCAAGGGTTTGTGGTGTAGATTGGAAAAGTCACGTCCTCATAGGAGATTACTCCTCTTCTGCACAAGTCTATGTTACATTTGCAGTCTTTGTATTCTTATACTGCATCGCCGACCTCCTGCTTTATGTTAGTTACACGAACCTGTACTGGGATAGTCGTAAACTTCCCATGACTGACTTTGTTGTTACTGTTGTTGCCACTTTTTTGTGGTTGGTGAGCACTTCAGCCTGGGCTAAAGCTCTTACAGATATTAAAGCAGCTACAGGTCCCAGAATTGTTCAAGAGCTTCTGCCTTGTAAACAGTCATCAACAGCGTATCATTTTGGCTCTGTGACAAGTATGGGATCCCTAAATGTTTCTGTGGGTGGTGAGCACTGCAGCCAACGGCAGCGACCCAGCCGGGAACCCTTGCTTCCCATTCATGGCTTGGGCAGCACCCGAAAGGAAAGTTTCTTCACCAAGCAGCCAGCCCGGGCTTCTGGGGAATTTCACATGCACACGCACGCACACACACACACGCACATACGCACACGCACACACCCTACACCAGAGAACACACATTGCTTTGCATAAGTGTGAACCTTAAGGGACTCCTGCCTCTTAAATGTACTGCATCTTTCTCTCATGTTCGGCACTACTTTTAAGACTAATAGTTGTTTTGCTCATGAATTTCTGCCCATTTTCAAGGTTTAGCTCCACGGTCTCCTTCTACCCATCCTGCAGTCCTTTGTCACCCCTCTGCTACAGCTGAAAAGCACAGCCTTGCAATTATCTATGGACTTCCGTCTCTCTGCCAAGCCCTGAGCAGATTCTCAAGGGCATGCACTGCATGCTGTGGGGCTTCCATCATCAAAACAAGGCCTCAGCCATCAGTTCAGGTACATTTTTCTCAACTTTTTTTTAAGGTACTGAGGATTGAACTGAGGGCCTTTGCACTAAGCTACATTCCCCACCCCTTTTCTTTAGTTTTTTGAATTTTTTTTAAAATTTTGAGACAGGGTCTCACTAAGTCATTAAATGATCCAGGCTGGGCATGAACTTGGATCCTATTTCAGCATCTCCAGAGAGCTGGGATTCCAGGCATGAGCCACCACCCCAGCCCTCAGCCATCTCAGCTTAATTTTTATGGCTTCGATTCTCTTACTTAGAGCTCATCTATGTCACTGAATGGTGATGCTGAGTCATATGGGGTTAGAAACCAGTGCCGACATGCTGATAGCCTGGCTACTGCTGCTCCTGGGAGTAACAGACTGTTTTCTCTGACTCGGGAGTCTCATGTCTTCTACCAGCATCTGTGAAACTGGCGGGTCAACCACTTCACCCACAAATCGGATGGGGGAAGCAGGGAGTGGAGAGGCCTGGGGGCCCCGGAGAACAGCAGCTCCAGGGCCTGCTCAGAGAGCACCGTGACTGTGGCAGTGGTGGCCAGCAGCCCTGTCCTGCAAGCTTCTGCTCAAATGTCACCTTACCAGAGTGGGTCCCCTGGCCATCCCGTCTCACAGGGCATCTGTGCCTTTAGAGGCTGTCACCTCTGTGGCTTTATCTTGATTTTCTGTCCTTCACACTTATACCACATGTCATTTCCTGTATTTATTTGTTGTCTGCATTTCCCTACATGACTGCGAATTCTGTTGGAGAAGGGGCTTCAGTTTGCTGCTGTGATGCTGCCACTTAGGACAGTGCTCTGCACGGGAGGTTAGGCTGTCAAACCAGAAAGTTCTCTCGGTCCCTTCCGAGTCCTCACCCCCAGGTCACCACTATTCTGATGTCTAGGATTATCTTTGCTGATCCTTGCACTTCATATAAACAGGATGTCTTCATATGAACATGCCAAACAGATGTGCTTGTCCGTGTCTTCGCATTCCTGTGTGTTTCAGGAGCTTGCTCTTCTTTTATAGCTGTAATAGTCCATTTATGGACATACCACCACTTATGGATATACCACAGTTTGTTTATCATTCTTCTGTTGATGAGCATTTGTGTTGTTTAGAATAAAGTTGCAATAAAAAAAAAGAAACTTCCTTTGAGCCAAAATCAGTTACAGTATTTTAAAAGTCTGAACAAAAGCAAATCCTTGGGCCTTGATTATGACCACTCCTAAGTGTTTTGGGAGAGAATATCCAATTTGAGAATTCCAAATAAAGACAAGTGGGGGGAAACAGACGCAAGAGCCCACAGTAATCTGTATTCCTTGTTAGGATCGTTTGATGTCCGCAACCATTTTCTTTCTACTTGAAATCTCCTCTGCCAGATACAGTTTGAGGAGCCAGCCAGCGACTGGGGCTGTGAAATGATACTTTTCTGGTAGAAGCTCAGCTGTGAGAGCCCAGGGTTCACTGGGCTCAGAGCCCTGGCAGGGCAGGGCAGGAAACTGCTCTGACTTGACCTCCACTCTGACTTTCGGCAGGCAAATCCCCGGCCCAGGAAGCTCCACCAAGCTGCTCCCGTGGCCCAAAGACAAACACCTGCAGGAATCATCTTTATCTTCAGTGCTTCCTTGCTTGGGTCCTTCCACATCTCAACATTACTTTGTGCCTTCGATTGGAACTTTTCCTTGGCAGAAATGCAGATGATGATGTTTTCCCTGAGCTAGAAGCACACTGGTGCTTATCTGAAAACCCTGCTTTTAGACCCTGAGCTCATCTGCATTCGGGCATCTCTGGAGAACTCGGTCGGCCATGGCCATTCAGACTGGTGTCATGTCCCCAGGACGGGG